GTAAACGTGATATATATTTTTGCTTTGAGTACCTGGCAAATTCGATGCATAATTAGTTCAACATAGCTCCGTGCCTGTCTTTGTGTTAGGTAAGAAATATATAGTAAGAGAATTGAAATATTTGTGAAAGAATTATTGTGAAAGAATATAGAATGTGTTAAGAAAATTGATTTGATACTTGATGGGCTTAGCTTACTCGAAATAGAATGGAACCAATCAGGATCGAGATACCCACACACTACGCCACTTGCAGGTGTCCCATTGAAACAAAACTAAATATCGCTCATGCACTTCAAAAATTTAATTTTTGTAAGTAAAACTTTTTTTTATGTGAAATTTTAATTCTTTCAATTTATTCTATTGTTTATTGATTTGATAAAACATTTTTAATGCTTCTAAAATTAAAAATGTTTGCTTGGTTCTTCGCTACAGATTAAACTTTTCAATAGAACTAACAATTTTTCGTTGTTTTCCTATTAAGTACTTAACTATTTGATTTCTTACTATATAGAAAAGTCTAATGATGGTCTCGCAGTTGTCCGTGTATTTTTATTGGCTGGAAAATCACGTGGTAGAATCCAGTTTTTGCTCATTTGTTTCCATATTGTTTTGGTTGTCATCAGCATGGAATTAATGAAAGTGTTAAAGGTAATGTTTTTCTATAAATAATTTTGTATCCTTAATTTAAATTTCTTTTCCTGTATTGCTATTATTGCGCTTTTAATTCGAGAGTTTAAAGCTGAGAGAATTGCTGTTTTATTTATTATTATTATAATGTAATTCTGTGCTTTAGTTTGAGATAAAGTTATTTAGGAAGGTGTTCTAATCTTATTAACCATTTTACAATTATTATTTTTGTTCAAATGCCTGTTGATTTAGAACTTACCGATCAGCTTCCTGCACTATGAGATGCAAGCAAAAATAATATTTAATGTATCCGCCCGTTTTGTAAATTACGTTTGTGAACTCATCCAATTTGTTTCAACAATATAATGTTATAACAATATAAATGTTATTTTAAAAAATGATTGCTTAGCAAAATGACATCTGTTCACCAATAGATCTAAATATTTATAATACTAATAGATTGTGGCGTAACTAACGCTACGAAAATTAAAACATCAATTCACTGGTATATAAGACATGCGAACTTGATTCAATCACGAGGTACCTTTTGATAGATGAAGGTTGGCATGGTCGTTATTCCGCCCCCACATTGGTGACCTCCGGACGCGATTTGAACACGCAATAACGCCCACTTCAATCTGGTAACGCCTACTTCGTTGGATGATCCACTTTGAACAGTTGACTTGCTACTTGTGACTGCGACATTGTCCACCTCCTCACGCTGTTGCTGCTCAGTCACGTCTCGATTAAACACAACGGCCGCATGCATACACTCGACTGCTAATGGCAACACAGGAGCGAGTAATACACCTCTCACATTCAGCAGTCAAAAAAGAAAAAGAAAAACCGGTGACCTTAATTCCAGCTCTCCCGGTCTCCCACAAGTACAGCAACTAGTTGTATCCGTTCATCGAATTCTATCCCTGATAAAATTCTGGTGGGGGGGGGTATTGTGGCGTAACTACCACTACGAAAATTAAAACATCAATTCACTCACTGGTATATAAGACATGCGAACTTGATTCAATCACGAGGTACCTTTTGATAGATGAAGGTTGGCATGGTCGTTAACTCCGCCCCCACAGATAATAATATTCGGAGGTGGGAAGTGTAATACATGTAAAGTAAATAATTTTAACTGCTTTCTGCCAAGAAACAACAATTACTGTGAGGTAATTATGAGGGTTGGTGAGCGACAGTGAGCAGGGGACTTAGCCAACTAGTCAAATAAATTCCTTAAGTAAAACAGGAGACGTATGTCTTTAGTTCGATTCCCCCTAACACTCTAGACCAGAGGTCGCCAAAGTGGTCTATATAGACCCCCAGGGGTCTATTTAACACAAGCGGGGGTCGATCTGAGCCAGGGGGTAGAATGGAGGTCGATCCGAACCGAAAGGGTCGATTGGTCGAAGGATTATCAGTGTTTTTCAGATATGTGACAATTAAAAATAAAAGACTTGGAAATATATACAGGTAATCTTCAAAAATTGAGCGACGATTTTAAACTGCGTTTTGTTGATTTGGAAAACATTGACATCCCTGATTGGATTATTGTGCCATTTTCTGCTCAAATTGAAAACGTGGACATCAACCTGCAAGATGAGCTTGCTGAATTATTATGGGGATTTGAAGCAAAGACGCTTTTTAAGAATTTAGCAATGAGCAAATTTTGGACAAATATAAATATAATGCAAAAATATGTAAGACTTTACGAAATAGCTCAGCCATTTATGATAGCATTTCAAAGTTCCTTAACGGTTGAAGCCGGTTTCAGTCACGTAAATTCAATCTTAACTAAGAACAGAAATAAATTAAATATGGAGCTTCGAGAGGATTTAAGATTAAAATTGACCAATTTTGAACCCACTATAACGAACCTTGCAAAAAAAAAAAAATAAATAAATAAAAAAATACCAGGCACACCCATGTCATTGATTAAGAAGCAATAAATCCGTAGTTACTTTACTTATTATTTCTACTNCTGCGTTTTGTTGATTTGGAAAACATTGACATCCCTGATTGGATTATTGTGCCATTTTCTGCTCAAATTGAAAACGTGGACATCAACCTGCAAGATGAGCTTGCTGAATTATTATGGGGATTTGAAGCAAAGACGCTTTTTAAAAATTTAACAATAAGCAAATTTTGGACAAATATAAATATAATGCAAAAATATGTAAGACTTTACGAAATAGCTCAGCCATTTATGATAGCATTAAGTTCCTATATGGTTGAAGCCGGTTTCGGTCACGTAAATTCAATCTTAACTAAGAACAAAAATAAATTAAATGTGGAGTTTCGAGTTGATTTAAAATTAAAATTGACCAATTTTGAACCCACTATAACGAACCTTGCAAAAAAAAAATAAATAAATAAATAAAAAAATACCAGGCATGCCCATGTCATTGATTAAGAAGCAATAAATCCGTAGTTACTTTACTTATTATTTCTACTTATAATTACTTATTATTTCATAAATATTAAGGTATTTATATTTCAACATTAAAATATTTTTCATAAAACTATTGTTACACTATGTACTATTACTATAATAAATGTTCAAAATCATAAAATAAATGTACAAACACAGTATCTAATAGAGTTTTATCTTAATTAACAGAAAATTACTTTTATGGGGGTCGATGGAGATTTCGAAAAATTATGTAGGGGTCGATGATCAAAATGTTTGTCAACCCCTGCTCTAGACTGTTTGCACACAAACAACATCTAATAAAATTAAAAGAATACTTATCGCATATTCTGTATTATTGCAAAAAATCCGATATTGCGTAAGCTGATTATACAATTGTACGCAAAATTCTGCGATGTAAGTTGTACTATTTTTAAGTATCACCGAGATTTAAGTTTCACAATTATGCACCATTATTTTCCTTCTATTTTACACTTCCTACTATTCGTTCACATTCTCCCTATTATTTTGTTCTAATTTTCAATCGTTAATAAAATAATTTTAATTCATAGATTCAAGTTCAAATACATATTTTTAAATTTCTAGTGAATGAAACTTGATGTTAATATAGTTTTTTTACTTCAAATATTAATTCATTCATTAAATAGGGATGAGAGAAAAACGAAATTGAATTTTCTGATGGGTTAAGCGTTAGTCATTGTTGTAAATTCTACTATAAGAGATTTAGTTTTTCCCATATTTTATAAATAACATCAGTGATAATTTCTAACTTATAGCTCTATTAGAACATAAAAATAGTTTATGGCGCACATTTAAATATTTAATTATTGTATATTGCTGTGTCAGTTGTTGTTGTTAATTTACGTCGCACTAGAGCTGCACAACGGGCTATTGGCGACGGTCTGGGAAACATCCCGGAGGATGACATCCCGAAGACATGCCATCACAATTTTGATCCTCTGCGGAGGGGATGGCACCCCCGCTTCGGTAGCCCGACGACCTGCGCGCGAAGTCGAGCACTTTACGGTAGCACAGTTTAACGAGGACCAATACCGCACACCCTCGGTCCCTACGCAGACTGATCCAAGTGGTCACCCAACCGCACACTGACCGCAGCCAGTGATGCTTGACTTCGGTGATCTGCTGGGAACCGTGTCTTAACGATCAGTCCACTGCGGGACTCGCTGTGTCAGATAAATTCAATAAAGAACGTTACGTGGTAGCACGTGTGGTACACGTCACCGAATTTCTAATTTTATAGTAAGGCTACTATACTAGGGGTATATAGTCTAATTCAGGGGCTCTATTTTATAGTTGTCTGCTACCACGCGCCTTTTTTTTTTCATTTCCTAGTATTAGTTCACAATCTCCCCACATATATTTATATATCTTGTTGTAATTTTCAATCATTAATAAAATACTTTTCATTTATCCACTCAAGTTCGAATACATTTTTTTTAAGACTTGTAGTGGTTTTTTTTAAGACCCTTGATATTAATACAGCTTCTTCAAATATTAATTCATTCATTAGATTTAATTAATCAATTTTAGTTTTAAAAAGGAGAAAATTTTTTAAATTATTTAATAAAAAGTAACTAAAATAAAAGTTGATCTAAGAAGGAATTGATTTTTTTTTTAAAAATTATATTACTAGTTTCACATGAACTCAGTTTTTTCGTCATTCATTTTGCTTTTCGTCTGGCAAAAAAAGGAGGGTAATATATATTTATAGAATAAAAATAGTGACGATCGATCCCAAGTCGTTCTAATAGATCTTTATTTCTAATCGTTCATTATTTACTATTTATTCTGCTCAATTGCTGTCACTCTCTTATTTGCGGCGCTGCTACAGAAAGTCCTCCCATAATTCTCCGCGGCTGCTGACGTCATTACCCAGCGAGTGGCGCCCTATGCTCCACTGAAAGAATAGCTCAGAAGCAGCGGTCGGTTTGACTGAGGCGCTAAGTTCGTAGTAGCGAGTTAGTTTACATTAGACAACACGGGTTTAGACATTTTCTATATTTAGTAGGCAAGTTCTATATTCTATCCTTCATTTAAATAATAAGCGCTTTTTATTAAAAATCAATGAAGCTGCACTTTCAGAAAAATTAAAGATGTTGTTTCGGCTAAATGTAATCACACTGTTTGAATTCGAGCCTTGCTGAATATTCAGCGAAATAATTTCAGACGAAGAATTTTACTGCATTTATATACTCTTTAACTATTCACTAAGTCCTTTAAATGTATACAAAAGCCAACAAGTTGGGTTTTTGTCCAAGATTGTTGAAATATAATTTACAATTAAAACTTTTTTCAATGATAAAAAAAGAACCATGATTTGGCTTCTCCTTAATCGAAATATATTAAACATGTAGTTTATTAGAATATATTTGATGTATCGTCAACATTTGAAGAAAAGAATTTCGTCTAGTAGTTATATTTAGATTTTGTTATTGGTGAAATATATACAGACTATAATCTTTTAAGTAAACTAGAAATGGCGAGTTGAATCTTAATTTTTTCAATATAACCGAAGTCAGAAGCGTCGTTTCTTTATATAGAGACACTTCATAAGACACATAATCAAGAAAATGTTTATTTCCGAAGCAGAAATTGAATTTCTCATCGGTGCCGTAGAGAATATAGGGTTATTGATGTTTGTACTTTCCGAACTCTTCGGAGATAACCGAGCCGCTTCATAATAAAGTGCTTCTTAAAACTAACTGTTCTGAAAAGAAGTAAATGGATCCTATTTTACTCCACATAACATATAATGACTATTTTAAGCATTTCGATGTCATTACATTTCCTTTTTTTTTAAATCAAGAAGACTGAATGCTGTTTCTTTTGAATTCGTCTAAAGTCAGCTTTACATTTTGAAATATATATATATATTTAAAAAAAGTAATTTAGTTTTTAAGATTGGCAATACGTTGCTTGCAACTGCGGATTCTGAACAATTACATGCATTTTGTTTCGAAGTTAGATTTTGAAATGAAGTCACAAAATTAATTTGGCAAAGTAGGTGACTTGCAACAACGAAATTGCCTAATTTTTTTTTATACATCTATCAATTATTTAGATTAGTTTGATGCCTAGACTAAACGTATGGGTTGAATTCCCATATGAAGATACGGATATTTATAGGGAAAAAAATGTCCTAAAAGTTGAACTAAAGCTAAGTGGTCCTGACGTTCTACACGAGAGTACATCTCGAATATCGTATTTACAGCTTCATATATATTTTTATCATTTTTTTGAATCTATGCATATCAATACATGTTAGGACAAGTCCATTCTATTTATGTATAAATCTTTCAATTTGCGGAAAGTGTTTAGAATGCGGAAGAGCTTAATACCTATTGGATGAGATTATATAGATACTTTTTATCTCAAATGTGACTCTCTATTTGAACATTCAAAGTCATTGCAAAGTGTTTTGTGAAAATGATTTTTATAAACGTTCAATGGATAATAATAATAATAAAAAGAACCGAATGAAGGATTTGTGCGACATTCGGAATAAACATTCTGTTCTTGCTCTAGTCTTCCTAATAGGTAAGTCATTTTCTTTTAATAGTATGTGCTATCACTGGCCAAATTATTAGACGCAATATGTAAAATCTTAATTATTAGGTGATACTATACAGCTTATTATATTAGTAAATATTGTAATAATTAGATCAAATTATTAGACGAACTGTAGTGTTTTAATAATGACATGTTTTGCACGAGTTTATAGGCAATACTTTTATAATTAAATATACATGTAATGGGTTTTTATTCTAGAGATTTTTTATATACTTCCTATTTGTATTTATTTTTAACGTATTGCTTTACAATGTTGACCAATTGATATTCGAAAGTAAACGAATGCAAACCGGTTTCAGCTGAGTAAAAACAATAATGTTTGTATAGTATCACCTATTAATTAAGATTTTACATGGAATATTATAGTGCGCCTAATTATTTCGCCAGGGACTGTAATGTAACGCGCAATGATAACTGACTGTGATTTGATTTTATCATCCATCAAAATAGTTTAAAAATGAAGTTTTTTTTTTCGTAACGGGATACATCAAGCTACTATTTTGGGAGATATCAAAAGCGATCCAGTTCACTAACAGCATTTAAAAAATCCTGTTCTCGTTTCAATGTAAAATCTAAATGTTTGAAATAAGTGTAAGGAAGTTATCCTAAAACTTACCCTAAAAGTTTTATTTTAAAGTCTATGTTTGGATGTATCAAATAAAACTACAAGTCAATCCACGATTCATATGCATATCTGCCAACTTTTGCGCATTTGGCGTAAAATTTTAGTTCCATTTTTAAAGTGGTAGTAAAATGTATGCTTTCTGCATATTCCTTGCACTTATAAACTTAATTTATAATCTTTTCGACCACCACTAATTTTTAAAAAAATATGTATTTATATATATTTTAATATATTTAGCATATATATTTTTATATAATTATACATAAATAATCATATATTTATATTTTCTTCTTCCAATGCCCACCTGTGTTAGCAGCTTTCGTCAATTCAGGCATTTATAGGGCAGTTTTATTGGCCTCTCTTTCAGGGCCATCCTATTAGGTGGGCCAACGTTGCTCCCACAGTAAGGACAGATAGTACAGAGAAGGAAAGAACATCCGTGCCTTGCCCGGGTTCGAGCCCAGAACCTTTCTGATGCAAGGGTAGTTGCCTATCCCCTACACAGGCCGGTCGGCGATATATATATATGTATTTATATATATTTAGCATATATATTTTAATATGTAAACTGTCGTGGTAGTCCGCATAAGCTTTTTCAAAATACAGCGTACGCTTCTCCTTGAAATTGTAGTTTAAATTCCATTTTACTACTACTTGGGAAAATCATCCTCGAAATGATTAAAAAGGCATGCATATGATAGTTGGTATCTATATATATATTTCTCTTACACGGCGACAAAAAAAAGCCTCATTACAACTCCCCGAATGGCAACGCTAGAAAATTGACCAATAATTGCCGCTAAAAATGTCACATGTCAAATCTAGCTGAGGTGGCTCAAATTATAGCGCTTTTAAAAACGGAAACTGAAATAACCAGAGAGAGCATAAGCTAGGCAGAAGTGAGTAGTCTTTGTCGATAGATCTCTATTTTAGTATTTTGTCGAAAGCGCTTTTTTTCACGAATTTATATATTACGAATTTATTTGACGATTTTTGATTTATATCACGAATTTATTTGTTTTACTAGAATTTATTTGTTTATGCAGGTTTTTCCATTGCAATTCACTTATTTCAATTTTTAATAGACTTAATTATAGCCAAAATTTTAACCTTTTTAAAGAGATATCAGTTTTAGAAATTTTATCTTAAGATTTTATACTATAGCACATTTCTAATAGGTTTAACGAATTACATGTCATTTATTTGAATTCAAATTTATTTTAATGACTTAGTATTTACTAAAAAGATGTAATTTTTTTTTAAAAAAAAGTTGTTATATGGATTTGAATGATTGTTTTGAATTTTTAGAATTTTGTGCATTTGCAATGTACCTAAGTTAGTAGCGAGCGAAGCAAGCTTGGTTTGCGAGGCAAACCATATAAGATTGAGTAGCAATTTTCGGGGGTTGGAGAGCGTTAGCGAGCAGGGGGCGCAGCTCACTAGTTAAATTATGAAACACTTAAATCGTAACTTACAAAAAATGTTTTAAAAAATCTATATTTTTATTTTATTGAAAGCGTAAATATTGTTTACTGTTTGACTTATTTTTAATGAATTTATTGATATCCGAGTTTAAATACCCTTCGATTCTTTTCAAATTGATTGCTGAAAAATTTGTTTAAAAAATTATGTAACTGATCACTGGAATTTTGTAGGTTGTTTTGTGCAGATTGCTTTGGATGGGAAATGTCCTTTAAGGCACCATGAAAATTGAATTTTAAAAAAATTTACTAATTGTTGTTTTTTTTTTTGCACCAAAAAAATAAAACAATCATATCTTGTTGCACGAAATGTTTCTTGAAAAAGCGGGACTTTGTTAAAATCATTGTCCAGATAATTTTCTCAGACGATAGCGGATTTCGAGACAGCCCACTTTCCTAGAAAAAAAGAATTAAAACAAATATTTTTTTGCATTATTTTATTTTGTACCAATTCAAGATTAAATATCTAATTAAATAAAGTGATTTACTTCCCATAGACGAATCCCTATACCTGTCATTTTAAGTCATGTTTAGGGAACATTTTTTTTGAACGCTTACAGCTCTCGAAATTTTCTCCCTGTCAATAATTGTGTAGCATGGTAATAAAAACGCAAGATCCGCTGCTTTGGATGTTCAATTTTAAATTTTGTTTTGTTGCACAAAATTAAGACTCTCGTTAAACTACGAAGGTGTATAGAAAAATATACAAAAGGAAATAGCGTTTGATGAATCGTTAATTGTTAAATTTGCAGAAAAAAAAAATAACCCGAGGACCTCTCTTTCTTTGGAGCTTGCTGCTAGGGATATGGGACTAATCATTAACACCCATAAGGCCAAATACATGCCTGTACTTGCTAAATTAAATTCTAGTGAATCCTATCTGGAAATTGGTTCCCACAGGTTTCAGACTGTTCAGAATTTTACTTACCTTGGTTCAATAGTTACCGCCGACAATTACATAGACAATGAGATTCGGAGTCGTCTAATTTGTTCAAATAAAGCTTTTTATGGTTTAAAACGTTTTTTAAATCCTCTCTTTTATCAAAAAATACAAAACTTTTACTCTATAAAACATTAATTAGGCCAATACTTACCTATGGCTCTGAGACCTGGAACCTAACTCAAGCTGGTGAAAATAAAATTGCCATTTTTGAGAGAAAAGTTTTGAAGGCCATCCTTGGTGGGATAAAAATAAATGATTCCTGGAGAAGACGATATAATACTGAATTGTATAAAATCTACAGAGAGCCAGATATTGTGAAATTCATAAAAATAAATCGAATGAACTGGGCAGTTCACATTTTTAGAAGGAATGATGACTCAAATTTAAGGAAAATCCTATTACACAAACCCCTAACGAACAGGAAAAGAGGTAGACCCAGTCTGAGATGGCTGGATTTAGTTGAGACTGATTTCCTTACTCTAAAGGAGAAAAATTGGCGAAGAAGTGTCAAAAGTAGAGAGAAGTGGATTCGAATTCAAAGGAAGGCACTGGCCCACCCTGGGCTGTCTAGCCAAATATGATGATGATGAGGACCTCTCTAAAACTGGTAGAAGTACAGCTACAGAATTGAAATTGGACGTGCTGAAAAGTGTGTTATCTTTTTAAGAACTTTACAAGTTTTCTTTTTCCAAATTCCGATTTGCTAGAAAGTTATTACAGTTTTAAGCGTTTCTTACAAATTCTGTCTTTTTTTTCTTTTTACTTTAAATAATGATTGTTCATTAAATTTGGTAAAAAAAATGATTTCTCACAAACAAGAATGAATTATTAACTGTAAACTATGAGCAGTACCACACCGGCCGTTTTACAAGCTATAAACAAAGGGCTTGAAATTTGACTTACTGAAAAAGCGATTTTTTCTAAACTTCACACATGCTTTTTCAAATTCCAAATTTTTCGAAAGTTATTGCGAGTATGTGCTTTTTTGTGAATGTGCTTTTTTGTGAATTTTATTCTCTTTTTTTTGCTGATATTATATTTTGTTTTGCTTCGCAAAAACTATAAGACTTTGAAATTCGAAATTAAGAAGGAGTGTAGAAAAATAAACAAAGATTGGAGGGAAAATGTTAAGATTCGATTCTTAGTTCGAAAACTGTTAAACTCGTTGTAAAAAAATTGAGCTGATCTACTGACCGCTGGAATACAAATAGAGAGTTAAAAGTTTAACGCAGTGAAATGACATTTCATGTTTGAATTTCATTTCATTCACTCGAATTTTTCCTAAAATTCCAATTTGTTCGAAATTTATTGCAATTTTAAGTGGTTTTTTTTTCTCACAAATGTAGTAATTAAATTTAAAATTAATCACGATCAAGACCTTAATGACAATTTGTCCATTCTTTTGGAAAAATTTTCTGTCTTGAGATCTTTATGTTGATATTAAAAGAGTAAAAGAAATTTATATATCTTGATATCTTTATGTTGATGTTAAAAGCAACAGCAAATATAAAAAATTTTTAAATTCTTTTTCTGTTGCAAGACGAGTTTTTTTTTATTTTTTAAAATTAACATCTGAGAAAAGAAAAAAAAGATAAATGCGAGGCTAACACTTGAGTTTTTGGACGGAGCCGTGTCTACTTAGTAATTTAAATAAATGCAGTGCAATATTAAATTATACTATTTTTTTAAATGTTCTTAATGTGTAATTGACGGTGCATTTCATTATGTTAACGCATTCAAAATTAGAATCTGAATTCTAAGTTTAATAAAAACTTGAATTAAAAGAAGACATTTAATTTAAAATATTATTTTTTTTTAAAAATGTTTTTCCTTGAAAGATAATCCTCCGACTTATTTTGAAATTTTGCTGCTGTAATGTTAAAACCGATATAAAACTGTTCATATTTCGTAATGTGAC